TTAGCAATTAGGCATTCTATTACTTTTGACACATCACTTATGATTTTTTGGTCCAAGCAAAGCATAGAATTGGAAAATATAATTTGTAGTAATAATGTGAACATGGGGTTGTAGAGGAAGGTGTTAGATAGTGACTACCATTTAGCGTCTTGAAAGTGTGTCTTTGATATTTGGACAAGTACCAAACTTAAAGGGATATACAAGACATTGAATTAAAAGAATGAGAAGTTGATGATGACCCAGGCATAAGTTGTACTGTACCGGTGTTTTATAATCTCTAAGGAACTGTTGCTCTAATTCATCAAATGTTTTAGATCGTGGGCCGGGATGTGTCATGAAATTTTGAACCACATCATCACATGACTCCATGTACACTTTTGGAAATTATGGAATTTCCGACAACCTGAAAGTGATCTTAAATCAAGTCGAAAGCAAAAAGTGGTCAGAAATAGCAAAAAAGGTTTTTCCGGATACCAAAAGTGGTCCGAACAATGCTTTCGACTTGATTTAAGATCACTTTGAGGTGGTCGAAAATTTCATAATTTCTAGGAGTGGTATGAAACCCTTGTATGATCACACGTGGTTTACCCCAAGCGGTACATAGGCACTACTATATGTTGGCATACTCATGCTTGTGCGCAAGTAAAATAGCATAGTATAGGCTCATCGCGCAAAACACATAACCCCTGTGTAAGGTTTGCGACATGGCTACACCTCTAGCCTTATCTCATGCCCCACCTTCTACCAGATTAACGATAACCACATCCTAATTAAGAGCATGAACAACCTGAGAAAAATAGGGAGAAATACCTAATTCACAATTTCATCCAAAATGCGCTTTAGAATTAAAGATCTTTCGACCTAGAATTAGGGCAAGAGATTGCCCCACTTTCATGACGCCTCACTCCCAAACTCTTAAGCTCAAAGGCATTCTTAGGATCCCTCTTTCCCCCCTTATGCAAAATCTACATAACCAGCACTTAGTAAAGGGATTAATCGCTAATCCAACCTACCAACCTTCTGTAACAAGCAACATCATCAAGAATATTTCCATCATCATGTGTTAAGCGATGGCCTAGGACCATGGGAGTTTTAGCAGGCTTGTGGTCAAGGAAGCCAGCTTCATTCAAGATATCCAGAGTCTACTTCCGCTGAAAGAGATTCAACCAGGAGTCACACATTCTAGCCTCGATTCCCAGAAAATACCCCAAGGTTCTGAGATCTTTGATCTTGAAAGCTGTATCTAGGAAAACTTTAAGTTCTTAAATTTGATTAATGTCTCCACTTGTTACTAGAATGTCATCCACGTATACTAATAGAGCTATGAACAGTGCGTCGCAGCCTTTAGTGAATAGCGAGAGGGGTTTGACTTAGACTGAGCAATCCAATATGTATTAGCGGTGCCATCAATTTTGCATTCCATTGTCGGCTGGCTTGTTTGAGTCCGTATAACGAGCGCAATAATCTGCACACCTGATTTGGCTTGGTGCCCTGAAAACCTGGAGGCAAAACCATATAGACCTCCTCTTGCAAATCTTCGTGCAAAAAGGCGTTATTTATGTCTAACTGATGAATGTGCTAACCATTAGAGGTGGCTATAGCTAGGAAGGTTCGGATGGTGGTTATACAAAGTTGCAAACATTTATTTTAGTGACAATTATAATCAATCTCTCATATATTATGTTGAATATATATATACTTTAAATTACCGATTTAAATAAACAAATTCAACATTTATTTACCTATGCATAAACATCTCCTGTATAATATTGATTGATATACTTTGAAATACTTATTTAAAAATAATCATTGTGCATTATCACATTCGCGCACAGCCCGTAAAAAAACTAGTAATATTTTATAAAATCTAATTAGGACCTAATAAGTGATAACCATAAGCCTAGTTAAATATTTTAAAATTTTAGAATGTGGACTTTATAATTATTGTTATGTATTATATAATGTCTAATGTTTGATGAACTATGTCTTATATTAGTTATGTAACAAATTATTTTAATTATTTTTAGAGTATATAAATGGTAAAACTTAACAAAGTATCAAGCTAACAACTTAAGAGCAAAAAAAAAGAAAAAAAAAAAAAAAAAGTGGAGGGGGCCGGCCTAGCCCATAGGCCAGGGGTGGGGCTGGCTAGGCAAGTAAAACCCAGGGCCGCCTAAGAGTAGGTTTTTTTTGCCCGTCTCGCCAGCCCGTATTGACAACTCTAACGTCTAAAACCCCACTATTTTGACAAAATTTCCATGATCATTCCTTGAAAAATGTCTTCACCTAAAAAAAAAAATGGGAAAGTCATTTTTTCCCAAAACATACCTATTTTCCTTTGACTAAGGCATGATTTTTTATTGACCTCGTCATTTTCCCCCTCTCTTGCCAAACACTGAAAATCAAAAAATATTTTAGAGAAGTCATTTTCCGGATTTCCAAACGCACCCTAATTGTTTACTATTTGAACACAGAGTTCATCAATGACTTTGAACGCAATTAACTCAACTTAACACAAATAGTATGCGTATAAAACTCCCTAAATACACTTAATTAAGGAAAATATATGAAATGATGTTTTATATATATATATATATATATATATATATATATATATATATATATATATATATATATATATATATATATATATATATATATAAACATAATAAGCTTCAATCCAAGTTATACCCCTGGATTATGTCCTTTATTTCTGTTAAATTTTTTGGTACCTTATGCTATAAAAGTTGTAGTACATAATTTTTTGGACAAAAATATCCCTACAGTTATAACTTCTGTTATCTTTCTACATTATTATTACCATGTACATGCATACATAATATTATTTCTTACATCCTTCCATGGTAAGTTGTAATTCATTTAGGTTTTAATTAAAATGTTACCATAGTTATATTTAATAATTTATCATTTCTATAATTTTTACCTAAAAAATATTAATATGAATTATACAATTATATATATATATATATATATATATATATATATATATATATATATATATATATATATGTGTGTGTGTGTGTGTGTGTGTGCGTGTGTGCGTGTGTGCGTGTGTGCGTGTGTGTTATGGAGATATTACAAATGATCCAAGAAGGCAACCTAGACCAAGAAGGTGACCCGTGACCCGAGCCCAAAGAAGGCGATCGAGACCAAGGTGGTCCGGGCCAAGCAAGGCAATCCGGACCAACGCAATTCTGACCGATGTATGCGACCTGGCCACCTGGGGTCGACCCAGGGCTTCCAACTAGGCTTTAACCCGTTCCCACGGCCTACCCTGAGTAAGGGGTGACCGCGGTTCTTGTTCCGGAACCTTATAGTACGGATTCGGTTCCGGTTTATGAACCGACGGTGAAAAAGTGAGACCATTGCCTCTTTGGCCTTTGCACCACTGCCCATTGCCCAATGTGGCAGTGAGGCAGTATGCTGCACGCCTACGGCTTGCAGCCATCATTTTAAATTATATTTTTTTTTGTATTGGAATCGGAACCGTCTGGTTCCGAATTGAAACCGGCAGTTCCGGTTCCTTTATTTCACATACCTTAACCGGAACCGTATTGGTTCCAGTTAGGAATCGAAACTTGAACCGTACGAACGGTTCCGGTTCGGTTCCGATTATTACAATGACGATTACGGTTCAAACCGACGTGGTCAGCCCTACCTTGAGTTTAGCTAAGTTTGCTATACTTTCCTTGTATAAATAGCTTATGTCATAACTTAGATAAATCATGTTCTATTCTTACAAAACTCTTGTAACGTTATTATATTAATCCACTCAATATTTTTATTACAATTATCTCTTGATCTTTTACTATTTTACCCCATTAATTTATGCAAATTTATTGATTCGTCCATATCATGGGTCATTTTGTTCCATCAAGATGAATTAAATCATATAAGGAAGTTAATTCAAAAAATCCATAAGGAAATTAAGTAAAGGAGGATAATATATATACGAAGCTCCCGATATGCATTTACGGAAATTAGAATGGAAATCTTCCTAAATGCAATTAATGTGATTATAATGGAATTACATTGTGAATTTGTGATGGATTTATGAAACCAGGTTACATCATGAAACGGGTAGGATATACAAAAAAGGGGATACGAAAATTTTAATAATATTATTATTATTAATTGGAGCCTTAAGTTCAAAAGATTATATACGACTCGAGATTAAAATTCAAGGAATAGATAAATAATAAATAAAGGAGCCCAAATAACGAGCTAGGAATAAAGGCAATTTAATTGGACCATGAATAAATGTATATTTCAAATATACTGAATGTACATTATTTGTGTACTAAACGTTTATTATTTGATAGTATATACCAAATAATGTATCTTTAAAAAAGGAACCTTTAGTATAATAAAAACGTACTTTATGTAACCGAACCCAAGTGTAAATGTTAGAAGTCATGATAGCACGGGGCGCCGTTGATACGATGGAGAGCGCTCGACGCCCACTAGCCACACTACTATAGCTCGAGGAGTTCAGGATACCCTTTTTTTTGGCCGGTAGAGACAACTGGCCTTGACACCGCCTCCGCCCCTTAGTGGTAAGTTGGTAAACCCCATGGGTCAACCTACCCCTCTATGCTCAACATATATTCCATCACCCCCCTTCACACTCTCTCTGTATCGCCTCACACCCAAGTCGGTAATGGGTAGTTAATATAATGGCCCAAAGTCATAACCCTTTACACTATGTGTGTGTGGGTAAACATTAAAATGCAATGAAATTTAATTTAGAAACATTTCTATCTTTCCTGTGTTGCATTCACACAAATCTATAGTTCACCAAACATGGCTAGGAAAATTTACTTCACAAAGCTCATACACAAATGATACAATAAAAAATTAATACTATTTTATACTTAATTCAACACGATTATAAAGTCATTGATGAACTCTAAATCAACCCATCAAAAAGCAAAATTTTCTTCCTCCAACATGACATGAACAATTAATTTACAGACCGGTCATGGTGAAACAAGGGTGTCCACATAACTTGTAACCGTATAACCAAGATCATAGGGGATATTAAAATTCTTACCCCTTCTAGCGTTAGGTCTATGGAGCTTCAACTGATGTCCAACCATCATTAGAATATCACCATTTTCCGAAACATGTACAATTGCGAGTTTAGCATTACACAGAGCCATGTATGCCGTGTTCTCTGAACCCCGGGGAAGTGGATGATGAACTGGTAAGTTTGAAATGCAGACAAGTTTAGTCCATGATTCTTCAACTCCAAACTCATTCATCACCCAAACTTCCATTTGACGTTTGAGATGAAAACCTGCAAAAAGCAATCCTCTTGACTCACCTACACAAATGGCAGCCCCATGTTCATGGCTGGGTAACGCTATAGCTTTGGCTGTTTCGGTGGTTAAATTAAAAGAAATTATATTCCAACTCCAGTCACTGTCATTTAAGTTGTTGTTGCACCAGTTGAGACTACCACTCACAAACACAGCAATTCTGGGATAAACAAACCCACTACTAAACCCTCTATCACATCTTTTCCATGTCCCAAGCTTAAAACTATACACCAAAACCGCATATTCATCATCACCATTATTGTCACCATAATAAGCATAAACAACCTTGTAGTTGTCATTATGCATGTCGTATCCAAATCCAAATATGCTTATGTAGCCGAACCGCCATACGTCTGGGATTGTCTTGACGTTTCCATTTAATGAAGGGTTCCAAATCATTATTTGATACGGTTTAGCACGAAAGCAAAAGAGCCCATTGCAAGAACCCAAAAATTCAAAACCATCTTCAGGGATTAAGACCGAGCGGTCATTTGTAATAAACTTTCGAAATGATGATTGCTTGTTTTCTGTAATAGAAAACAAGGACATATAGCTAATCCGATTTACACTGCTATATGTCATGACCTTAATATCCTTTTTCGAATGAAAATTTAAGTGCAATTTGACAAATTCCGGAGATGATATTAAAGCACGCCAAACTTTTGAAACACACCTAAATTGCAGTAGAGATTTCACAGGCAGCCTTTTAAGGATTTCTGTGATTATATCTTGATTCAAATTTTGTTGTTGCATATGGCGCTTAGGAGTAGGGAACGACATCCTGATTGTGTGTCTTAGATAAAAATTCCTTTTGTTATCTGAAAATAAAAGCCATACAAATTACAAAAAGATTCCAATAAATATTGCTAGTGTTACATCATTGATTAATTTCAGAATGTATAGTATTAGAGAATTAGTTTAACTCTCTCTCTCTCTCTCTCCATATATATATATATATATATATATATATATATATATATATATATATATATATATATATATATATATATATTCACTTCACTTATTTTTATAGCGTTACCTTCACCCACCTACCTACCCCTACCATCACTATTTCCTATATTCCTATAATATAATCACATTCTTTTTATGCACCATAACCTATTTATTTATTCCTACTAGCTATCACCTACCTATTTAATCCATCCCGAACTATCAATGCTCCACAACTGTCTACTTACCCATTACAACATATGCATCTATTGCATTCATATTTCTTTTACTTGTTTTACTATTATTTCTAACTCAATCCCATCTACCTAACCACAACTCCATATATAACAACTTACATACTTACAATATTACTTGATACTTTTATCAATTGTCACTACATTTTTGTTTCTTTATGAGGAAAAAAATTGTGCAAATTAGTTTCCTATTTTACAAATTAATAAATAAATAGATTTGAACTCATTTAAGCTTTCTAATGAAAATGAAAACTTGAAATTTTTTTAGCTGTGTGTGTGTGTGTATATATATATATATATATATATATATATATATATATAGAGAGAGAGAGAGAGAGAGAGAGAGATGAAGAGAGAGATAGAGATAGAGAGAGAGAATTATATCAAAATTGCTCAAATGCTATTTGAAGTTTGGTAGTTTTTTCTTTTTCTTTTTTTTTTTTGGAAATCTTTTTCTCACTTTTAATGGCGGACAAGTTTGTAAATGCGGGTGTTTTAAGTAACAAAAATTTAGAAAAAATAGAAAATGTATTCAATAAAACATGTTTCGAAATAAATTTGTCAATGTTTTCACAATTTCAATTTCTTTACAAAGAAAACAATTTTTTTTTGGTTCAAATTAAATGGAACATACATCTAGCCTTCTAAAAAAAACTTTCAAGTCTTATAGCTAGTTAAGGGGATGAGACTAGAGATTACCTTCTCAATCAAAAGAGTTTCGATGACGATTGAAGAGATCCGGTTGATAGATGTATAGAAACTTTTTTTTCCAGTCGAGAGATGAGAGTCAAAAGAGATTGAGAGCGAGAGAGAAGATTAAAGTGAGAGGAGACAAACTTGAGAGAAAGGGGATTTCGGTGCTTAGAAATAGAGAGATAGAGCGGAGGGTAGATGGAGAGGGAGGGAGGGAGGGAGGGATGGAGAGAGAGAGAGAGGGGGGGGGGGGGGGTAGATGAGGAAATGGTAACGGACAAATAAAGCGTTACGGTTAGACAATGGAGTTGAGGAATTAAATTGGGTGGGCCAACGAAAAAAATTTCCTTCAGAGAATTTGGTCTATTTGTTTGTTAATGTAGAAAAGGTAACGAGTGTACAACATGGAAATGTAGAAAACTGAAATTGAAAAAAAAAATTCTATACAGAGTAACCCTTAAAGTATATTTGGTTTACATAATTGAGTTTTGAGGAAAAAGAATAATATTCAATAGGGAATCAAAAAGCGAGATATAGACTATGAATTAAATTCCATTTTTGGTTCTTGAAATGTATATATTTTAGGAATTGTATTTACGTTTTGGTTCGTTTTAGAAATATAAATTATGTAAGCATTCAAATTATTGAAATGCTCTATATAATAAAAGATATTTACTCTCAATGATAGCATATTCTTGTGGATAGTATTTTTCAAGAATATATAAACTTAAAAAATGATCGAATAAGCGTACTCATAAAAATTCTATACCATTCTAAAGATATTCAACGTATCAAACGTGTTGTTAGTCTTTTAGATTCATGTGTGTTTTATTCTTCTTTAATTTGTTGAACCTTTTGTTAGCAATTAGGCATTCTATTACTTTTGATACATCACTTATGATTTTTTGGTCCAGGCAAACCATTGAATTGGAATATATAATTTGTAGTAATAATGAGAACATGGGGTTTTAGAGGAAGGTGTTAGATAATGACTACCATTCAGCGTCTTGAAAGTGTGTCATTGATATTTGGACAAGTACCAAACTTAAAGGGATATACAAGACATTGAATTAAAAGAATGAGAAGATGATGATGACGCAGACATAAGTTGTACCGGTCTTTTATAATCTCTAAGGAACTGTTGCTCTAATTCATCAAATGTTTTGGATCGTGGGCCGGGATGTGCCATGAAATTTTGAACCACATCATCACATGACTCCATGTATGAAACCCTTGTATGATCACATGTGGTTTACCCCAAGCGGTACATAGGCACTACTATATGTTGGCATGCTCATGCTTGTGTGCAAGGCAAATAGCATAGTGTAGGCTCATCATGCAAAGCACATAACCCCTATGTAAGGTTCGCGACATGGCTACACCTCTAGCCTTATCTCATGCCCCACCTTCTACCAGATTAACGATAACCACATCCTAATTCAGAGTATGAACAACCTGAGAAAAATAGGGAGAAATACCTAATTCACGATGTCATCCAAAATGCACGTTAGAATTAAAGATCTTTCGACCTAGAATTAGAGCAAGAGATTGCCCCACTTTCATGACGCCTCAATCCCAAACTCTTAAGCTCAAAGGCATTCTTGGGTCCCCACTTTCCCCCCTTACGCAAAATCTACATAACCAGCACTTAGGAAAGGGATTAATCGTTAATCCAAACTCCATATCGAACTGCTCACACTTCAAAAAGAAGAACAAGTAAAAAGCACATATGAATATTAAGAACATTATTGTAGAGGAAATAAAAGAAAGAGTATTGAAAAGCTTCTCTATGTAGATGCAATGTTGAGGTTGAATTCGACTTCAATCCGAGATTAAAAGATTGGAAAATGTGTTTATTATATGTAATCTAAGCTAGTCTAGCCCTAAAAGATGAAAGGAAATAAAGGGAAGCCGATTGAAACTATCTAGCGTTCTTCTACCCCAAAATACAACATAGAACGTGTTTAAATACTGTTTAGATTACCCATAGTGGCACGACCAAGGGCATGGTCGTGCCTAATTCGGCCTAAAATGGAGTGCACACTGCCTCCATTTGGTCTGACCTAAAGCATGGTGGTGTAAAATCTTTCAAGAACGGCCTTTACCTGGTGGCCATGCTAATTCTCCTAGTGTGCTCCTCGTTCTTCATTTGTTGCTCCAGTCCTTCTTGAACTGGTTCTTTAACTCCAAAATTGACCGGAAATGCCCCAAAATACTTCCCTCTTTAATTTTCGTGAATAAATGTGCCTAAGACAATAAAGCAAACAAATAAGTCTCAATACACATGATTCGGGGAACTTTATATTATGCACAAAATAGGCTAAAGTATGGAGTAAAATATAGTTAAGAATATGTTTTATCAATATGGATACAATGGAAGAGGCAGTCTACAACATAATTAGAGATGAAATGCACTCTAAAATTTATAACTTTCCCTTAGAAGAATTCTTGATCCAAAAAGTTTCTATGTTGAACAAGAAGAAAACAGCTAAAGAATAAGGGCCTTCTATCCATGACGATGACGGAGATAATTATGATCAGTGAAATCAAGAGGCTACCAACCATCTCTCCAGAGCTCAACATGAGTCAAGCCTAACTGTGGTGCCTGGACAGTCTTCCATGTCAATGGTTGAAGGGGGCCACAAGCTAAAGTTACTCTGGAAGGAATTGAATAGAGAGATCAGAAGAAGTTGGTCCGAAAGGAATAGATGTTCCAACAGTTGTTCCGGAAGGAGTGGAGAAATCATAAGAAGTTGGAGCCAGTATTGAAATTTCGGAGGCAATGGAGAATCTGGAAGGAGAAGAACAACCAGAAGAAAATGTTCAAATCTCATCCAATAACATTTTCGATGAGAGCAAATTTTCCAATGACTCTATCAACCTGGTGATTGACTAACTAGAAGGAACTAAGAGAGGTGTAGAAGAACCTATGTTTCCCACGGTTGTGGATAAAGTTGTATAGGGTACTGAACCAATAAAAAGGGCTAAATTAGAGAAACACCCTATATACCAGAACTTAACGGGAATGTTCTTGAAGTTCCAACTGTAGAAGGTATTGGAGGAGAAGTTGGTACCCAATAGGAACCTATGAGGAACAAGATACAGAGAAGTTGTGAAAAATATCTTCATTGTTTGTTGGACAAAAGAAAGACCTTACATGCAGGAAGATGGTTACCCTCGTCCCTTATCATTCCCCTAACAACCCCCCCCCCCCGGTAAGCTGATACAAACAATTGATAAGGAGAAACTGGAAGGAATTTTGTAAACCCGTCAGTTACCTGGTTGGATGATGAAACAAATAGTAACTTGACGAGCCCTTGAGTGATTTTCTCACGAACCACATGACAATCGATTTCTATGTGCTTCATTCGTTCGTGGAAAACGTGATTCTCGGCGATGGCAATCGCGGACTTGTTGTCAGGGCCGGCCCAGGCACATGGGCAGCCTGGGCACCTGCCCAGGGCCCAAGTCTATAGGGGGCCCATAGAAAATATAGTAATATATTATATATATTATAATACTTGTACTTAATAGTTAATATGTATTAAAAAAAAATCTAATAACAGAGAGCAGAAGAGCGGAAGACGGAAAGACGGGATTACGAAGAAGAGACGCCTCTCTCTGCCTGGCCGGTTGCACCTACAACATAATCCATTGCAACCCTTCAATTCTTCTCAACGGTAAGAATGAAGTTATTAAAAGTTCAGAAGTCAAATAACAGTCTTCTACCTTGCCTTCACCGCTCTTCAGTTCACCGCCCTGCCTCTTCTTCGCCATTCTCCAAGTCACCGTCCTCTACTCCTCTGTCTCGCGCCCTAACCTTCGGCCTTCGCCGGCCTAATCTCAGTAATCTGCAATTGCAAAGGTATTTTATGATTTGGA